CAGTGGACTGTTCGCAGAAACAGTATTTTAGATATTACTCCTCTGACATAGCAAATCAGTAAATGAAACTATGACAGTTCCATGCACAATGATTGTGGCAACATTTCCAATGATCTTGTTAGTCTATTTTTACCCGTGTAATGGAGCAACAGGTACAAAAAGTTTTGAAAATTTGCAAGTAACAGAAATTTGAACAATATCACAGTATATTTGCAAAATAACAATGGTATCATTATTTTTTTCATAATAGTCATGTTACACAAACACTAAAGTATTGAAATATTATTAAAATAACAAAAAATCAACATTGGTTTAAATACAGTCTTCCTCTGAATGTCGTCGATGAGTAGCCATTTTTTGACCACACCCACCAAAATCCAATCACGGACCCTGTGTCAGCCGGTTTGTACTGGTTTGAATAGATCACGTGACCTAGTTTCCAATCCCGGTTACGTAGTCTATAATATCTATGGTTGAAGCCTTTGATCTAAGCTCCACCCATTATTTAAGGTCTGTATAGACCTCCTTAGGTGAGAATAAATACTGCAGCAAAGTGGGTGGTTGAGGCTGAAATGTCAGCCGGCTAATGTAGATATAGCAATCTGTACTAGAGATTACATTGCAAACAAGTAATGAGTATGCAGCAAGAGTGGATAAGAAGTGAAATATAGAACTATAGTGAAGTATACACACAATTGCTAGGTGCAGCCTTGTCAATATCTAGCTCATACAACATAGCTGGAGTTTTTTTGCAGCTTTTAATAATCTTTCTTCTCTCAGGATTTAGCACATGCATTGTCATTATCTCTTGCCATTCACTATAAGTGGCATATTAGGTACAATTAGTGATCATGCCTATTGACCACAGGATGGGCCTATAGTCTAATGTCTATGATCTTGTTTTTAGATAGAGGACGGTTGGTGTGAGGGAACACTCAATGGCATTAAAGGGGTATTTCCCGAGAATTTTGTGAAGCTGAATCCGAAAGCAGGGAGTAAGGAACATTGAAAATTATGCTAGTTTTCTTTTCAGATATTTGGACAATGCTATTGAGATTATAATAATTATTTTATATAGCTGAATTGGCAGGCAACATTTGTAAGCGAAGAGCTAAGGTTGCATACAGTTACACAGCAGAGAACCCTGATGAACTGAGCCTGCCACTCGGGAGCACTGTAGAAGTACTGGGGGAGGAGGAGGAAGGATGGTGGAGAGGGAAGCTTGATGGGAAAGAAGGTGTGTTCCCATCTAATTTTGTTCAGCTAATTGAAGAGGCTGAGGAAAAAGATTCTTCTCCTGCTTTTTCTAGTATAAAACCTAAACCAGGTAGGAGAATCCTAGCCTCCATGCATACATCTTATTTTGATACTCTACACAATAGCTGAGAAGGCAAGGTCTATGACAGCAATGCCAGGGCTAGGTGGTATCAATCTGAACGAGCTCAGACAGAAACTTAGACCAGTTTCACTGGCCATAGGACCACCAGTAAGCAAATTAAACTGACTTATTATGCACTGTCAGTTTTATGCTATGCATACTACCAAGAGTAT